GCCATGTCTTCGTCGTCTATGTCCAATTCATTCCCCGTACCTTCAGATGACCCTTCATCGCCGAATGTCATGGCCGCCTCCCCTTCTGCGACTTCCGGTTCTATATCGCCCTCGACGGCATCCTCATCTATTTCATATGCATCAGAAATTACACCGCCGACGTCTTCCCCGATCACCTCACTACCGACAGATGCCTGGCTTCCCATAAAAAAACTACCACCATGTTCTTCTTCATTACCGCTGACCCATAAATTACCATCATGTTCTTCTTCATTCCCGCTTCCAGTCTCCATCGCCTTCTCTGCCAACTCCTCCCCACTGGCGGCGAATGGCCCCTCCACAGCATCCAAAACTAAAGTTGGCCCTGACACTACTCCCTCCTGCACCGCGCCAGAGCCTGAAACTTCCAATCCCCCCTGGGCGCCACTATCTTCTGTATTCCCCGTACTGCTTCGTGATAATACATCATCCATCTCCTGGTCGTATTGCGCACGAACATCCGCTGCATTTGCTTCGATCGGGCCCCACCGGAGATCGCCCTCCAGTCCCTCCGCGATCCGATTTTTGTTACCCTTCCGTCTGTGATTTAGCATTGTTGACCGAGAGACCGCTTTGCCTCTCGGATAACAGATACACATGTATTCAGGCAAACATACATAACTCGTAGGCATCGTACATAATTCTAAACTTAGAGGCGCAGTTGAGGTTCATTCACGATCGACTTTTCAGACTCCTGAAATATCTCCGTGACGCATTGGGAAAAGTGTGGCATAATTGTCTTCTGGCATTGATGAAGGAATGACAAAGTGAGACAGATCTGCCATTATTTGGCATCGGAACATGGTGAAGAGATAGTGCCCTGTGAGACCGCCTGTGGCATCACCGTCACCGTCTCGAGACTTACAACTGCGTCCGTCCTCAACTGCGATGGGCAATCCAAAGGCAATTCGTGACGGTACCGCACAAGACGTGTCGTCACATGACTGTCATGGTCATTTGCACTTGACATTGTCGTCAACAATTGACACCGCGACAGGGATACGTAAGTCTTGGTAATCGCGCCAGTCCGCGAAGTGCATCCCTTCCAAACAAAAAGTGGCACGCTGATTGTAGTGCGAAGCGAAACCCCGATATCCCTTCGATGCGTTCCATATGACCAAAAGCAACTCCCCTCCTACGTGCTATAAAAACTGCTCTTAATGTGACGCGATGCATATGTCAAGCTGCTTGAGTCATCGGCTCCTTGTCCATCCCAGTTACACAACACCTATCCCATCCTCTTTCTTCTCTGCCCTTCCCTAGACACATTCCAATCGTCCATCATACCCTGCGATGCCCCCGATGACTCCCTTCGATCGATCCATTGAGAGGGCCAAAGATGAAATATTGATCGAAGTCAGGAAGGATTTTGCCAAGCTCAATAAGCGTCTGGACACGTTGGAGCCGACTTCACGTCTGCCACCAATTCCTAGTCCTAGTCGCGGTCCGATGTACACCCGGGACCCAAACGTGGCTAAAGTTTTGCGAGAAGAGATCGAACTTCGTAACGCCGGAATGTCCGCCGAACAGGAGAAATATGTGGAGTTTCCGTTTGGTGTTTCAGATAAAAAGTTGAACACCGATGCCAAAGATGCCCTTGACCACATCATGTTGCAGAAGATTGGAGAGAAGTATGGGAACTGGACATGGGCCACCGCGGCGAGGACGACGCACCGAGCTCAATGCGAAGCGGTTATCAGGGCTGCATCCAACTCTCCGGACTTCATCGTATTCAGGCAGACTTCAAACAAATGGGCTATCAGAGATCTAGCTGCACAGCGCATGAAGTCTAAGAAGTCTTATGATCTGAACAGCCTAGATGAAGTTGAGGATGCAACTGATGTAAACCCACCAACGATAAATGTGACGACCACAGCAGATGTACAAGTCACAGCGCATGCTGGATTGGAACCGGCTTCAAAGCGAGTTAGGATCGAGGCTCCCCCAACTGCTATTCCCAACAGAACAGATTCTAATCAGGCGATTGCTCGCGGTCGTGGGCGTGGTGTTGGTCGTGGTCGTGGTCGCGGCCGCGGCCGCGGCCGCGGTAGCAGAGGCAGTCGTGGACGCAGTAGCAGAGGCGGTCGTGGACGTGGGGGATCTGTTGCATCGGTTTCTGGTTGAAGCTTGACTCCATGCGGTTTCATTCTTTGGTACAGTGAAACATTGTGCCATAAATTGTTTTGGCTTAGGCCAACGAATTCGACCTCCACATAAGCGGGACATTCCAATCTCTCCAAAATAGAATCGCGGGTGACCCCGTCTGAGTTATTACCTCTGAATATGTCCAAAGGTGCTATGCATTTCGGTTGGACTGTCTTCTGTAGATTGTTCTTAGTCGCAATAAATCGAGACACACGCAACGGGAAAGCATCTCTTGTTAGTCACGCGCAATATGCGAAAAATGGTGATTTGAGCCTTTGCATATGCGCGAAAGAAACCAAACCTGATAGGAACGCGCCTTGTCTTCATATTATATCGGAACTCAATAGAGAATTTCGTTCAATATTGATCGGAATACACAAGATTCGATATAGCTCTTGAATAGGTAGACCACAGCTTACGAACCAATGTTCGGGCGAAAACGGACAGGATCAACCGAGCAAGACAAACTAGGTAGTTAGAAACAAGGCACATGACACAGCATAATTCCCGCAGTGATGATCATACGCACAAGGTTCGTTTCCGACGCACGCAACATTCGGCCCCGCATTTGCATCAATGCATTGTATGACGGCTGTCACAGACTGCCTGTAGGAACATCGATAAATAGTGAAAAAGACAGATATAAGAAGAGTGACTACGGAAGTTGCAAAATACCGTTTGCGCGAGAGACTTTTGCGCGGCGATAGGCTTAAAGGGAGAAGTTCAGATATTTGCATCGCTCGCGCACGCCCAATAATGCGTCTGCTCATTCACGTGAAGCTTAAATTCGTTTTTGCTTCAAACCTCTGAGGAATTAAGAAATGGATGTGTGCGTAGAGGTGGTATACAGAGAACGCAAAGGCGTCGGTGGGGACATGTTTCTCTGGCTTCATTTCGGGGGTAATTTGATCCCCGACTCTCCCTGAACCGAATGTATTACCTCTCGGAGTCATTGAGTCTGTTCGGGATACCGCTATTGCCCTCTAAAGGAGTAGGTATGAATCGCAAGTGGGGTCCAACGACCTTGATTGAAAGCTTGCACGACTTCCGCGCATGGAGCAAGCGTTAAAGTTGAACGCGACCTAAGATGAGGTCTTCTCCGGCGTGGCCACCGGGGTTGCCGTCAGTTGTTGCAACACGATACCACGCCGAACGCATGGTCTGCATCATGGAACATGAGGGAATGCAGGAACTGATCCGCGACGCGCGCCGTCCCGAGATTTCGTGGAATGCGTAATATCATGATGCGAATAGGAAATGACGCGTATCAAATGGGTTCGATTGTGGCCTCCCAGCAGGTGCGTAATTGGGCAATGCCGGATATCCGGGAATGGGACATAATTGACTTTTTAAAATAATTCAAGAAATCATCAGTGTAGTCCTGTTGGATATTAAGTCTTGAGACTGAGATCAGCCATACCATCCAGGTCTCTGGTACCTCAAAGCCAACACGCATGCGCACGAACAAGAGAGTCGTGGTATGGAAAGGGTCGGGATCTTGATTCCCTAGATGGACACTGCTTTGTCTCTTCGCGGTGACCGCCAAGTGAGTCTATGTATCGTGCACTACATCTTGTACGCATCAACGTCAGCGATGCCCGCGAAGATTGGAGGGCCGCAGCGGGATGCAGGCGTCGTCGTTGACGAGTTTTCCCACTGAAGAGAAGACTAGAGGTGCAGTAGGTGTAAAACATGGCGACGGCGTTGGGGAGAAGGGCAGTAATGTCATTGAACGGCGGCGGCCGCCCGCGGGGAGAGTGGTGTGAAAGATGTCAAATCCAAGGGTGCGGATAATACGTCCCTGCTCCAGAAAGCTACCGGAGGGGGCTCGAGACGAACGTATTCTAAAGAAGAAGTTGAAGAGCACGCCACTGCTGAAGATATTTGGTTGATCAGTCGAGGGAAAGTTTACGATTTTACAGACTACATTTGGGGACGTGTTGACACGTTTAAGAACCACAACGCAGAGGTTTCTGGATCACTCCCGAAGCGTCCCTTCATCGCATCAACACACTACTTTAGCTTCCGTACCGCGCCGCCCTTGGCATTGCACGAAACTTCTTGCACCCGCTGCAATTTCGCACAGACGAAACGAGCAATTTTATCGTTTACCCCCATTTCCCACAAACCGAAGCAACACAAAAGAACTTGTTCATCCTGCTCTGCTTTCGCTTCGCGCCCATCTCGTGAGACTCTTGATGGAACAAGGTAAGCCCGTGTCCGCAAATTCAACTGCCACAGCAGCATTGGAAGCCTTGCAGAAGGCCCGGACGGAAAAAGAAGCGCAGGGTGTCATTTCCGGCAACGATATCACGTCGCTCAACAAATTCCTGCAATGGAGTACAGCGAACACTACGAAACGGGAGCAGGCTTCATCAGGCGACAAAGCGACTGAGAAAACCGAAGAGAAACTTGCCGCCGATCGCTAATGGCTCGACGCAGCTTTCCCTGATATGTTTGCTGATGTTAAACGTGTCGTCGCCATGCTCACGGACGAGAAAAACCCGCTCACCGCAGGGGAGAAAGTCGAGGCATTAGAGGGCTTGGAAGAGATGTTTGTGGACTTGAATTATGCTATCAACATCGATAAACTTGGGGCTTTGCAACCCATTTTAAATTGTGCCGCAGCAGATGAACCTGAAGTTCGCGCTGCCGCTGTCTGGGCCCTCGGCTCTGCTCTGCAGGATTTGAAAGGGGTGAAAGATGTCTTCATGCAGCGAGATCGACATGAAGTCTTGGCAAAATGTCTCGTAGACCTCAACGCAAAGGTGAGGGCGAAGGCTGTCATGGCGTCATCGGCCTTGTTGAGAAATTCGTCAAAGGAGATTCGAGAACGCTTTGCAGAGCTGGGAGGCACTATCTCTCTCCGGCGTCTTCTCGCAAATGATAACATTTTTGTAAGGAGACGAGCCAGGTTCTTCATGCAACATGCGAGGGCGACGGGAAATGAAGAGTTTGTGCGAGATCTACTTGACGACCGGAATGCCATTGCCGCGTTTTCAGAGTCCATTGCTGCCCTCGATGTTGACGATGTCGCTGATATGGAAGCAGGCATTGGAGCACTGCAAGTACTGGTCGAAATAGATAAGCAAGGCCTGCTGAGAGTCGCACCAGAGTTGCCAGGAGTCATCGATCAAGTAGTTGCCCGATGCGGAGATCCAGACCTCGCTGAATCCTTGACAAGTCTTGCAGATTCGCTGGGAGGATGATGTTCCTCCAGGGTACAGAGTATCTGATTTAATTCATGTTAGACGAGGGCGCAACGTTGTAAAGTGTAACAGTAATCCTTAAATCCTCTTAATAACAGAGCTTGATGTCGCCTTGACATGCGAGGCAAAGGCCTCCAAAACTTGCGAATCCAAAAAAGGTCGTCATGTACCGAGCATTCTACGAAGACCTCTTGAGAGCAGCAACAACGGCATCAGTAAACTCGGATGTTGACGCAGCTGCAGCTCCTTCCGCGGCCACGTCGCGAGTTAGAATATCTGTTTCTGCGAACACGCTCATGACGGCCTTCTCAATCGCTTCCGCGCGCTCCTCTAACTTGAGATACCTGAGCATCAGCACTCCACCCATGATGGTGGCCGTGGGATTCGCGATTTGTCGGCCAGGAAGGGAGCGAGCCGAATGTCTAGTTCCCTGCTCAAATATGGCTCCGCTAATGCCTATGTTGGCGCCTGGGAAGAGCCCCCGGTCCACCGACGAGACCAGTGGCGATGTTTGTGACAATGTTGCCGTACAGATTTGGCAAAATCATGACATCAAATTGCTGCGGGTTCGAAGCCATCTGCATGCACGTGTTGTCCACAATCATGGATTCAAACTCAATAAAAGGATACTTACTGGCAACGTTTGTGCAGCACACTAGTGCAGACGGCCTGTTCCTTGAGTGCTGCGTTGCGTAAGATGGCGCAGCAAACCGGACATGCCGCTAAGGAGGCGCGGAACCCGCGAGGTGGCGGTCAGCTTCGACAAGACGGGCGTCACCCAGATGGAGAACAGCGATAGCTTGCTCGACGGTAGCCGCGGCGGCGAAGTTGGGGTGAAGCAGGTGGCGAGGTTGCATGGTCGTGAAGGGGCAAGAAGGATCGGCCCCTAGCCCAATGCAATATCGGAGGGGTAGATGTGACAGTGAAGGCCATACAAAGGAGATGGGAGAGAGGGGGATGTGTTGGCGGCCGTGGGGGTTGAGAGGGGGAGGTGGGTGGAACTTGGAAGAAGAGGGAGGGACAAAAAGAGATTTTTGGTCGAGTGAGCGCGGGTGGCTCTTCGCCTTGTACGTGCTGGATGTTGATCCGCGGCCGATATCGCCCAGGCAGAAATAATTTCAATTTATAATGTTAATGTGACACGTTGCATATTTGGAAGAATGCTTTGGACCTGAACACCTGTGAGGATCAAATTTGCCCAGAGCACTCTCACGCGGAGCATGGCAGACATAGACACAGTCTCAGAGCGGCCCTCGCTTAGTTTTCAAGTCACCGGAATTCTAGACTGCGCTAAAAGTGTGTTTTCATTGTGGGCGTCAACGACGGTTGCTCGGCGCACAAGCATCCGCATCCAATGTAATAATACTGCACGACACAGAGCCGAACTATCCCCGGCGACAATTAACAGACTACCATTGCGAGTGCACATATCTACTGTACCTGTACATCCATCGACGAATGCCGTTCACCCTTCCTTCCCCCGCAAGCCCTCTAGTTCATGTACAACACTGCGCCGGGCAGCTCTGCACTGACCCCTGACGACACAATCGTCAACGACTTTAAACCGCTGTTGTGCGCCGGCACCGTGCATGTCATCTCCATCGCTGACCTCTTGGTCACCACGCACGCTTTGCTACCGATAGTTACAGTCGTCAAAGCTCCGAGCCCACTCCCGCCAACAATGGTTTCTGTGCCTCTCCCCTTTCCATGCCTGAACAGCACAGCCCCCACCACGTACAATCCTGCAGAGGCCCTCACATCCAGTTGAAGCACAAACACGTCCTTTTCGTTAAGCCTTGGGAAGATCAGATCTCCGTGCGCATTTTCCACGAAACTAATTCCACCACCGACGAAAGCTGGTCCGGACCGCTCGTCACCGCCCCGCCGTTGACCCCCATCCTCCACGTCTTTCCGCTCTTGTACGTTGACATGATTAGCTCCCCGCGCAGCTTGCCGCAGAAGTGATTCGCTCTGTACTCTCCGATTCCAGTCAGAGAGTTCTGCAATGTTGTCATAGCTTTCTTGTACTTCGATGGGGCGGGTTTGTTGTCGGCTGTAAGGTCATCGAACGGGTCTATCCAAGCACACTCGGCACCGCCGCGATTGATGTTAGGATGACCATTCCAACTCCCTGGGGTTACGTGCAGAATTTTGTCAGGCCTGCTCAGACTGTACGGACACCACACCCATCCGTGTCTCACCTTGCCCTCCCAGTCGACTTCGGCGTCAGGATCCCAGGCTGCGGCTCTTGCTTCGTCAGAATCGCTACAGCTTGCAGACGTGTCTCCAAATCCGCAAACCGGTCAATTATCCGTTGCGGAAGGGGCCCTGGCAATGTCAGTTTACGAGTCAGTTTACGTACTTGAAGCGCATCGCTTCCTCTGACCTCTGGCCCTATATGCAGCCCATCAACCAGCGCAAGAAGCGCAAGCAGCAAAGTGGTATTGCTTTGCTGCACGTGACTTGCCCACCATCTTCTCGTCTCAACGAATACCAAGTTGACCGCCGAGCTCCCAATTCCACCCCTCGCCTCCAACCTCCATCTAAACAATGGAATGAGACGCAAGTTGCGTGCAGAGTGAGTGCACTACGCAATGCGATGCAGCATGCAATGCACAGTGCACGCACCTCGCACTCCAGGTTACATAGAATTTACGGAGGGCGGTATGAGTGCATAACTATCATACACTCATACAGCCCTCTCGGTGCGCTCCAAGTGCCACCAATAGGAAGTTGTGTGGCCAACAGCGGCAACAATTCGCGTTCACAGTGCACTCAAATATGCTAAAAATCTCAAATTGCACTGTAGGTGCACTCAAAAAATCTAAATTTTTTCTTATAGGGTGTGCGATGGAGGTAATCGGGCGATGGATTCATTAGAGCATGTAGGAGATGGGCAACGTTGGCCTGCACCCAGGAAGCGTGGTGAGTGAGGGAGGAGAGAAAGGAAAAGCCAGGAGCGCGGTTCGTGGGGTCGTCACGCAGAGATAAAACGAGTCGTTGGAAATCAGGAGGAAGCTCGGCCCCCAGAAGACAGTGTTCGTAGAAGAACTTGTCGAAAGTCTTGTGTTGGTTTGTGATGATCGTCCCCAAAAGAGGCATGGAGAGGTGGTGAGATTTGATGATTCCACAAGGGTGTTGCTTGTGAATGGCACAGACGGCGAAAGAGATTGGACCTTCCTCATGTTTTATGATTCGCATGATGACATCCAAAGTTTTTCGTATGAATGTAGCGGCAGTGTTGGCATCTTGATCGACGGTTGCGATGATGGCAGCAGCTGGATCTTGGTGGTTCTCGTTGAGATGGGCGGCCGGAAGGGGCGTTTCTGCTACTCGGCGTAGTTCTTGAATCGCTGTCACGGAAACAGCGTATTGGAGGGCGGCAAGAATGTGACTCATGTCACCGGCTTCGGCGAGTCTGAGGGTCGGGGAAGTCTCGGCGAAGAGTGGGGCGGAACTTGCAACGACGGTAGCGGCGACAACAAAATTACGAACGGCCAAGTTGGTGAGGAGGTTGACATGCCTGAGCCGGACGAGGAGCAAGCTTTTCATGGCATCGTGAAGGCAACTGTGTAAGGCGTGGGAGAGAGTTTCACCTGGGGTCTCGTGGAGAGATGTGCGATTGAGCTCATGAAAGAAGGCGTCGATCACGACGGAAGTCTGTTCATTACGGGAAAAGTCGGCGTCCCGTGTCTGATGAGTGAAGAAGAGGAGGCGGGCAACATGACTAGCATATCTTCGTTCTGCCACGGATTGAACCCGTCGGAAGGGCGTAGTGCCGTGGAGGTTTATCGCTTGACGAAATCCATGCGTGACGTCCCTGACGACCTTGGCGATACTTTGAAAGTATAGATGGACGCAGGTTGCAACCGTGGATAAAGTTGCTTGAACGTCCTCCGTCGTGACGGCACCCGTGAGTTGAGCTGCCTTCTCACTGCGTAAAGGCAGAGCGTCGAGGGCTTCATCAAAGTCGGTGATCGACAGGAATGTGTTGCGGAGGGCGATGCCGGAGTCTGCGTCATTTTCCTCCAATTCGGTATGAGATCGTCGACCCGGGGCCAGGTCCGAACTGGAACACGTTAGACGGGCCAGTACGTCGGCGGCACATTTGTGGAGCTCATAAGACGGGGAGTTGGGGTCTGAAGTGATGAGGTCTAGAGTTGAGTCGGTTGTTGTGTCCATGGGGAGGGGTGACGACACCGGGGCGGATTGGATGGGATCTTCTTCTTCTGAGTCAGGAATGCCGACTGGGACTTGGGAGACGGTGACCATTTCCCCGATTGGCTCTTCGGCCGTAACGGGAAAGTATTTGGTCTTGGCACCACTAAACAGAGACTGGGCGCGAACAGCACCGCGGCCAATGATTTGATCAACCTCGGTCGGCGAGGGGTTTCCGGGTGCATCAGGCGGGTGGACGGAGTTCATATGTTGTCGAAGCCGTTTCGGGGTGCCCTTGGAGAGCTTGCAAAGAGGACAGAAGTAGACTAATTTGCAAGTGAATCCTTGAAGCGGGGGGAGGCTCTTGATCGGAAGAGTGATTGCCGGATCGGGGAGGAATTGGGGAGCCTGCAGGTAGTCGGAAAGGAGCGGAGAATCGGAAACAGAGGTACGGTGGAAGGAGAGGGCTTCTTCTGCGAGTCTAGAGCGCTGTGCGGCCTGGGGAGTAGGGATGTTGTGAACGTGGCGCAAGTGGTCGCTGAAGGCCCTTGCGCTGGGGGACC